TGGGAGCCTGTGGCAGGAGGATCACATGTTTGAAGCCAGCCTGGGCCACTAGGAGACCTGGCCTCATAGTGAAGATTAAAAAGAGCTGGGAAGTAGCTCATTCATAGAGAGCACTTGCCTCGCTTGCACAAGGTCCTGGTTTCAATCCCTAGTACTGGAAAAAAAATCAGCACACTTGTACTGAAATACAACAGATCGGTTCTAGGAAACACGTTTAAGTAATGAGAAAGATTCAAGTGTATCTAGATGAACTGTACTCAGGGAGCCCAGTTAAAAACCACCATAAACACAAGGCTACAAGTCAGCACTGATAAGGGAGCTATATAGAGGTGAGTAGAACCATCTGGCAGAGCGCACCCCAAACTGCTTCAGGGGGAAAGGAGAATACAGGGGGTCTGGGAGAAGGGCTGATTCTTCATGCTCAGGGCTTCCACTTGGATTTTGGTTTCTTCTTTTTTTTTTAAATTCTCTTTCAACATCCCTTTATAAGTGCATTATACTTGTACATAATGATGAGTGTTCTATTGCCTATACACACCTGCAGCAATGTAGCAATATAATATGCCCAGTATCACTCCCTAACACCTCTCCCTCACCTCCTTCTTCCCACCCCAATCCTTTCCTCTATTGATGTCCCTTGGACTTTCTGCCTTTTGTTTCTTAAAAAAGGCAAATACATTCACATATTACTGTGAATAAATTTGAAAATGTAATTAAATTAAAACAACAAAACTAAATGCTTTGGAAACTAAATGCTCCTCCATCATTCGAGAATTCCTCTGATCTTAACTGGAAGATCATTGCCCGTTTTCTTCTTTTTTAAAAAAATCTTTAGTTGTAGATGGACACAATACCTTTATTTTATTTGCTTATTTTTATGTGATGCAGGGGATCGAACCCAGTGCCTCACATGTGCTCTCTACTGCTGAGTCACAACCCCGTGCCAATAAGGTGCTTCCTGAAACCTGGTTTGGGTAAAGAAAAGCCTTCAGCGAGGCGCCAGGAGGCAGCCAGCACTCAGGAGACCAAACCCCACACAGCAGCTGAGGCAGGGAAGCCTCTGGGCTCCTGGACCCAAACCATGGTTCCTTTCCTGCTGTGTGAGAGCCCCAGACCTGCAGCCCACCTGCCCCTCTCCCTTCCTGTCCCCTCTACACCTGGGCTGGAGCCAACAAGGACAGCACATTTATCCCACTAACAGACTGCCACAGTTGCTTTTAAATGAAATCTTCAAAACCCTTTTTGGGGACTTACCCAAGAACTCATCGTTCTGTTCAGAAGTGCTGTGTGTTGCAGTCGGGGTGTCCGGACTGCTTTTATTTAGATTTGAGTTTCATTTTCCTGTAACTTCACCTAGCCCATCCTTCAATAGCGGAAAAATAGATCAAATTTCACATACAAATTTTAATCTTCCAACAAGTGCAGGGCACACATCCCAGAGAAAGTTAGATATGGAAATCACTTGGAGGGGAGACAGATCAGAGCCCAGTGTGCATTCAGGAGGATTTGCTGACATCTGTGGTCAGGGGAACATTAAAAAATTCCCAAGTGTCAGGGGGAAAGGAGAGACAGTGGAACAAGCAAGTGCTGATAGTGAAAAACATAAATCAAAAAACAAAAAACCCACCCATGTCTTGGGGGTGTGGGGAAGGCAGGAGGGAGGGACAGAGCCTTAGGGAGGGGTTTCCAGGAATGAGGGGCTCTGAGGACAGAGGCACACCCCACAAGGAGGAGCGAACATCTGCAGAACAGGCAAATATTTCCACCAACTTCCAAACAACCACACCACCTGGAACAGGCCACCAGAGGCATTTCCACACCCTGGGCACCCAGGAGCCCGCGTGGCCAGAAGGAGGGGAAGAAACCCTCCCTTCCTCTCCCCCCAGGTCCGAAGCGCATTCAGTGTAGCCCAACAGGAAACCCAAACCCTACTCCCTGGTGC